GCAGGAGGAGCAACCTGAGCAAAGGCGGGGAGATGGGAAACAGGCCGGTGTTCCCAGCGTGCTGCCAGTGGGGGTCTGCCCAGAGAGCAGATCAGCGGGGTCCCTGTCTGCAGGGACTTTGGCCTTAATCCTTCTGGCTATGGAAGGGATGGGGGTGGGGGAGGTGAGGAAATGCTGGCAGGGAAGCCATTTAGGATGGTGGTCAGCTAGAGGTAGTTTAAAATTTTTTTTAAATATGTATTTATTTATTTTTGAGACAGGGTCTTGCTATGTTGCCCAGGCTGGTCTCAAACTCCTGGCCTCAACCCATCCTCCTGCCTCAGCTACTCCTCTTGTAATCCCAGGAGTAGCTGGGATTACAAGCGCAGGTCCCCAGGCCCGGCCTGGAGATAATTCTTAAGAAATTCCTATAGCACTTACTAGACACTCAATGCTGTTGCAGGAGCCCTACGAGTATTAATCTTTGTAATAGTCACAGTAACCCTAACAGGGTCACCACCATGACCCCCATTTTCCAGATGGTCAAACACCAAGGAGCAGCTTGCCCAGAGTTGCACAGAAGCAGGGGTAGGGTTTGAACAGGGCCATCTGGCTCCATATGGTCGTGCTTTCAACACGGATTTCCGCTGCATCTCTTGGCCAGCTCTGGGTGGAAGTGTCAGGGACAGGGCTGGAGGGGGCGAAGGAGGGAAAATGGCCAGGAGTTGGCCTCAGATGGGACATAGGCAGCGGGTGAGGCTGGACCACAGCAGGTACCCAGTTGCAGTGGTACCATTCACTGAGCCGTGGAACCAAGAAGGGGCCTTGCAGCCCTCAGTTTCCCTGTCTGTAAAATGGGGACAGGAACTCCTGCCTCAGTGGTAGAGAGAGCCAAAGTGAAGGTCCTCTGTGCGTTCAAGGTGCTCTGTTAAGGAATGCAGCCTGCCCTGCTGCTGGCCCTGCCCACTGGTGCAAATGCCAGCTGTCCCCTTTGTCCCCTTCTTGGCTGCTTCTGGGGGATCTTGCCCTCTGGGAGTTTCTTTCTCTGTCATTTCCTGGCAGTGCTGGAACTGGCTTTGAAAACTGCCTGGCTCCTTAGCGGGAGAGAGGTAAAAGCAGTTCAAGGGATACAGGCTGGGAGTATTCGGAAATGCAGATGGGCCGCACGAGCACCTTTTATTTTTGTTCAGAACATCTGAGTCTCCCTGTGGGGACTCCTCCACCCAGAGTAGCACCTCCCCCTGTCGCAGAGAGGATGAGAGAGTACCTGGGGGGCTGCGGTGAGCTTGGGGCGGCAAAAGCAAGGCTGTCATCCTCCCACCCTGCCCCTGCCAAGCCACCAAAAATAGAAGGGCCAAGGTATCAGCTCCAGGGAGGGGCTTGCCGGGGAAACCTTTGAAGCAGGAAACAGCCTGGGAGGGAAGGTGGCCAGAAGCAAGCGTGTTAATATTCACAGGGCGGCAGCAGCAGTTGCCCCTGGGTTTTCTGTTTCCAAGGCAGGCGGATGTCACCAGCCCAGCTCAGCAAGTCCGAAGCACTGGGAGGTGAGGCCTGAGCTTGGCTCATGACTTGCTGTGTGACTTTGGGCTACTCACCTCCCTCTCTGGGCCTCAGTTGTTTCATCTGTAGTACGAGAGACTGTGACTAGATCTCCTCCTGGGTTCCGTCCAGCGGCCACATTCCAGGATTCACACCTTTGGCCACTGCCCCTGCCCAGTACTGCCACCTCACCCCGCCCTCGGAGTGGGACTGGGGCCTGGCTGGGCTCAGGAAATGCTCCAAGACCACCTCTGCAGAGCAGCAGGGTTGCAAGGGTGGGTTTGCCCAGAGCCCCTCCTCACACAGACCCTGTCCTCGTGGGCAGGGGGTGACAGGACATGCCAGGTAGTTAGCAATCAGGGCAGCTGGGCATGGACTGGTGCATTGGTGGGGGGCTGCTGTGCTGGCTGTTAACCCTTTAGTTCCCGGTGGGGGCAGGTCTGGAGTGCTGGGGGAGGGGCCAGGGAAGCAGGAAAAGGAAACACATTGAAAGCTCAGGGCAAGGCCTATTGATGAATCCATGTGGCAGTGCCTCACCGTTCTGACCACCCCTGTGACTGTATCCCCGGCCTGCTGTCCACGAGCCCTGTTTATGGGGAGAGAGGGACAGAGAAGGCTGCTGGGTCCCTGGGCGGGTTTCTACTCATTCCCACCATCAGGAAAATTCCTTTCACTCCAGGTCACTGTTCTCACTAGGCCCAGCTGGGACCCCTGGCCTGCCACGCCTGGGGTGCCCCTCCTTCCCCAGGGCTGGGGTATGATGGAGGGACTCCTTTGCCCACAGCGTCCCCAGCTCCACTTATCCAGCAGCTGCCCTGGACCACAGGCCACAGGTCAGGTGGCCTCAGCTCCCGGGTCCTCTGCGGCTGCCTCCCTCGGCCCTCAGCCATCTCCCCTCCCTGCATGGGCCGGTTGGCTCCCCGCCTCATGTCCCCGCCTCATGTCCCCGTCCATCCCCTAGGTCCCCAAGGCGAGGTCCTTTCCCATCTCTTTCCTGCCTGGCCCATGGGGCTGAAGGTGGAGCTGGGGTTGGAGGGCGGGGGCTGAGGCGGAGACGCTGGGTTCTCTGTGGGTGCAGGGCCCCTGCTCTGCCGCTGCCCCGACTTCCCTGTGCAGCAATTGCGGTTTCTATTTTGAACAGTTTGGGTTGGCTGCTCCTCTGCCTTCCTGCTGGGTGTTTATAGTGAGGAAAATAATTGGTAATATTTGCACAGATGTGCTGGCACTGCAGCTCATCACGGGCACCTTTACCCAGGGGACCCTCCCTGCCCCCAGCCTGTCTCCGCCAGCCTGAGGGGGAGTAGCTGAAGCCCCTGCACCTCCCAGGGGCCTCAGGCAGCCAGGCGAAGGCAGCAGCGCTGGGAAGCAGGAGGCCTGAAGTGCCCCAGGCACGCCAGAGGCAGGCCTCAGCCCCAAGAGGGGGTGTCACTGCCAGTGCTCATGTTCAGGGGACTGATCAGGACAGGCCAGGACTCCACAGGATGGGCCCCTCCTAGGGGGCTGCAGGAGGGAAGCCCCCAGGGCTCTATTTCTGATTCCATTTCCTCCTGCAGAGCCTGCATTTGCAGCCAATGGGTGGTATGGAGCAAAAAGGGGGGGGGGCAGGACCAGGGTTGAAAATAAGAAATTATTTGCCTTCTCTTCCTCCTTTTCAACACCTGGAACAGCATATCAGAGGGCTGGGAAGGCGATGGGAATTGTCTGGGCTGTGAGGCAGGGCCTGGACTGGGGTGCATGCAGCCACCTGCCCCTTCTGGGGCCCTGAGCCAGCCTGGGGATGAGGTGGGAGCTCAGAGCAGGCAGGGCCGAGACTGCTCAGCCCCCTGCCTCTCTTCACCTCTTGCATGTGCTCGTGCTGCACATGTGGGCACACATATGAGTGTGTGCGTGCGGTTTTTGTGCCTGTGTGGGCGGTGCCTGTGGACGTGTATGTGGGTGTCCACGGTGTGCGTGGGTGCATGGCTGTGCCTGTGTGTACGTGTATACATGTGTTGCACATGCATATGCAAGTATGTGCACGTTTGTGGTTCTCATACAGGTGCACGTGAACGGGCATGCATGTGCCTGGGTTTGAGTCCCCCAGAAGCCAACCCTGAGACAAGACTTCAACTGAAGGCAGTTTATTGGGAGGCGACCCCAGGAAGCACAGTGGGGCAGTCAGGAAGAGGACAGCAGGTGTGGGACATGCTACCAGCAGATTGCTGCTGTGGGTGACTGAAGAACCCTGGGAACCAATGTTCTCCCATCCAAGGGCCAGACATCTAGGGTGTTTATCTGCTTGCTCCCATTGGTCAGTGTCGAAGGCTGCATTAGCTCTCCAGCACTTTGGGCTTCACCTGCTGAGTGTCACAGAGTGCCCAGGAAGCAGCTTCGGCACGCAGAGGTGAATGTACAGGGGATCTAGGGGGCAGGAGGGTGTGGTGGATGCAGTAACGTGCAGCTCAGAGCCCCTGCACGGACAGCCCCCAGCTGCTGCAGGTGCCAGCAGCAAATAGCCTTTGGGGCAAACTTTGGTGTGGGTTGCCTTAGCTGAAGAAAGTCACCTTGCATGAGGGAGGTCCCACGCCTATTCTAGGTGATCCACATCCAGTGACGGATCTGTGAGGGGGTAGAAAGGCCTGGCCTTTTGCCCAAACTTGGATCAACTCTGGAGGACACCCTTGCTCTACCGTAGGTTGGCCCAGACTGTCACTCAGACTGCATCGCAAGCTGACCTCTCCCTCCGCCCAGATCTGCCTCCTTCTCCTCCCTCTCACAAATGTTATCTGGAGAGCAGCCCCTAATATAAATCCTGCATTCTGATCACAATTTCTGGGGCACCCATGCAGCATGTGGGCACCCATGCATTGCTGTGTCTTACGTGGTGAACATATGCATATAGAGTGTGCACAACCCCCCTCCCAGGGCCTTCTGTGCACAGCGACCTAGAGGTAAGGCCAGACTTTCTGCCAGCACAGGCAGGATCCTGGGGGCCCACGACCAAGAGGACACTGGAGATCTGGTGCTGAGGCTGGGACCTAGAGCAGGCAGGGATGGCTTCCTGGGACGGGAGATATTGGGGAACTCAAGAATGGGCAGCGGGGGAGTGGGCTTCTTGGCCCGCACACCCTGGGTGCACCCTTAGCAGCTCCAGGCAGCTCTGTGGAGCCTGTCACTCTGGCTCACACCCCCTCCTCCCTGACTACCAGGGCTCTTGAGCTTAGAAGGGATTTTTCTCCAGGCGCAGAGCTTGCCTTGTCTTGCACAGGGTCAAGTGCATGCTATCACCCTACATCCAGGCGACTCCAAGCAAAGCAATCCGGGGACAGGCTAGACACTCTGGCCATCCTGCCTCCTCAGGCCCGTACGTGGGCTTGTCCTCTTCAGAGGCCGCTGGGAGCAGCAGACAGGGCGATGGAGGTGGATCTTGGGGAAGATGGGATGCGGGCAAGGCGGGGGTTGGGGGACCGGAGAGGACAGCAAGAGGCCCAGAGGGCACCAGGTGTTATGGAAACGTTTATTACAAGGATAAATAAATACAATAATGTGACCTTAAAACTGCAGATGATGCAGGGAGTGGAGGGCTGGCAATGCCCCAGGTGGGGGAGGATGGTGGGACAAGGGATGGCCCATGGTGAGCAAAGCCCTGGGCGCTGGATGGCGCACGGGAACGTCCAGGTCCCCAAATCATGCACAACAGGGTCCTGTAGCTTGGGCCCAGACAGACCTGCCCTCCCAACGTTCTCCCCTTGGCTGCTTGGATATCTCTAAAATTCTGGGTGTTCCTTAGTGGCTGGGGGTGTTGAGAGCAGCCCTGAGTGGGGTTATCCATGAAGATGCCCCAAAGGTGGCCAGAGGCCCACCACCAACCCCCTAGCATTCAGAGGTGGGAAAACATCACTGGTTTTTGAGAGACGGCTGGACCTTCCTCCTTGACCTGGTGGAACCACTGGGAAAGGCTGCAGTTTGGCTCCAGCCTGGATGTTCCAGGCAGAATCCAAACACCTTGGAAACCCCCATGGAAGGCTCCTGCCACACCCCTGCCCACAAATACAAGGAATTATGTGAAAATGGATCTCTTTTTGAATTCTACTCATCCTGCTAGGCCTTGCTTAAGGGACACCTCCTCCAAGAAGCCTTCCTGAGGACTGTTGGCTACTCAGCAGGCCACACCTGCCCTGTGCCCCTCACCTGCATTCACTACTCCCCAGGGTCTCTCCTCGCTGCATTTCCTGCAGGGCTGGATCCAGGGCCCTGCACTGGGGCTGGTGGGCTGATGGCACTCTCTCTCTGTCTACCTGGGATGGCACCAGCTCAGGACTCCAGGCAGAAAAGGATGATGGGGGCAGGGAACAGGGACAGAGTGTGGTCCAGCAATATTTCAGGGCCCTTTAGTCTCTCTGTCATCACATCTGCCTTTTTGCTCCTGCACGGAAAAGCTCCAAGAACCTGCCCTTGGTTCAGAGTTCACATGCTGAGTGAGACTCCTCTATCCAGACTCCAGGGGGGAGATGAGCATCCCCTAGAGGCAGGAAGAGCAAGGGCCCCTGCGCCTCCATGGATTTCCTTCCAGATGGCTGGGGTTTGGGTGTGATGGGGCCAGAGAGCAGAGTTGGGGGATGCTCTGGGCTGTCCCCAGATGAAGACCCCTGTGGGCCAAGAAGACTGGGTTGGGTCCCCTCTCCCCTGGGTACCCTTTTTCTTCCCTGTGACCCCCTGCTCGTTCTCTGTGGGGAGGTTGGCAGAGTGAGTGGTGGGCTGCCTGCAGGGCAGGAGACCCTCCAGGGAATGGGCAGGGTGGGCTGAGCGAGGCCCTGCCCGATGGCCTGGTGAGCAGCCCTGCCCTCTCCTGCGTCCCCGCTGCAGCCTGGGTTAGACAGCGGTGCCCCTGGCCCTGCACCGGGGCTGGGAGCAGTGGGCGAGAAGAAGTGAAGGCTGAGCTCTGCAGGCTGCAGACTGGGGGCTCCCCCCAGCAAGCCACTCCCTCGGGTTCTGTCTGGGGGGGCCGGGGCTCTCCGTCGGATCTGCTGCCCTAAGCCCTGTGCTTCCTCAGGTGGCAGGGGAGGCAGGATGCAGGCCCTACCGGCCACTAGCCATGGCCGTTCTGGGACATGTAAGCTGCCAGAGCCACCACCACGGCCACATAGAGACCGGCGCCCACGGCGATGGAGAGCGTGGCCAGGAAGAGGGCCCGGCGGGAGGTGGTGCTGGCCAGGCGGAAGTCCCCCTTGGAGATGGCCTTGCTGGTCTAGGGAGAGAGACGAGCTGATGAGCGTCCCCACACCCAGCAAGACAGCCCAGCCCGCCAGGCCCCTGGCCCCATCCTGCAGACGGGTGCCAAGCCCGCCAGCGGAGGCAGGTGGCCAGAGAAGCAGCCCCGGGCCCAGGCACTCTTACCCCCTGGGAGAAGTAGAAGGCGGCGATGCCCAGAGGCCAGAAGCAGCACAGCATGGAGAAGAGCGTGAGCCCCAGGTGGTCCCTGGGGGGCAGCGTGAGGAAGTTGTCCTCGCTTTCGCTCTCTGTGGAAGTCGCATCACTCTGCAAAACAGAGGGGTGTGGTGACCAGGCCTGGACCACCCCAGCCCCGCCAGACTGGCAAGAGTTTTTTTTTTAAAAAGGCAACAGCCAGTGGGCAATTCTGTGGCACAGCGGGCCTCTCTTCAGCTGCTGGGGGCGGGGAGGCTGGCCTTGGCGCTCCCTATCAAGAGCCGTAACAATGACCCCATGATTCCACTTCTAGGAATTTGTCACGAGGAAAGAATGTGAGTGTCTATGTCCAGGGATGGTTGTCAAAGGATAGCAATTGTACAAAAGATTAGAAACACTTTCAATGGCCGAGGCCCAGGAGATTGCGTTAATAGATGACGGGAGAACTTAAATGGAAGACCACGTCACCATCAGAAATCACCTTGTAGAAAATATTAAATACTTGGAGCAATACTGAAATATGTTGCTGAGAGAGAAAAATCAGGTTATAAATGTGTGTACAGCACTATTTCATTTGGGGAGTGGGGTGGGGAAAACATGTGAATAAAGAGACTTAGATAGTCATCCACCAAAATAGTAATGTTTTCTTTGAGGGTTTTCTGTACTGAGTTTAAATCACTTATATCATTAAGAAAACAAGAACAATAAATGCTATTAAACAATTAAATGGTCAACTCAAACTAGTGTTTCTCAAAGTGGCGACTGTACCTATCTCAGAAGTACCTTTTCTTTGGTAGCATGCAGATTCCTGGGCCCCCATCCAGGCCTGTTAAGTCTCAACATCCAGTGGTGGAACCTTGAGAATCTGCATTTTAAACATATGTGCTTACCTCGTCCTCTTCCTGGTCATCCTCCTGGCCCTGCAGCTCCTCCTGAACTCCATAGGACACTGTCTGGATGGTGACATCCTCTTCAGCTTGGCTGGGTTCTGTGGGCCGCTCCGTGGGCCCTGCCTGCGGCTCCCTGCCCTCTGTGAAGCTGGTCTCACAGCTGCCTGCCTTGGGCTCCTTGACCTTGTCCCTCCCCAGGAGGCAGCTGGGCCGGTACCAGGCCTCCACGGCCAGCTGCAGGGACCCTGGGTCCAGGAGCTGGTGGGCTCGAGTGGGGCCAGCGCCACCCAGGAGGTAGGAATACAGCTTCTCCTGGCAGGACCAGCTGGGTGGAGCCTCCGGGTAGGGACAGGGACCGTGGAGGTGGGCAGGGCTCCTAGGCAGCAACGGGTTCTGAAGTTCACTCAGACTCTCCATGGTTCTGGGGGCAGCTGCTAGGGAGGGGAGCCTGGACCGGCCGAGCAGTCCTCAGAGAGCCTGTCGGAAGAGCGAGACAGACAGGCACTGAGGCCAGGGCACTGGGTGCGGGACTGGAAGTGGGGAAGGACACAGGCTCTGTAGTCTGACTTCACTCAGACACTGCCTGTGCCATCTCCCAGCTGTGGGACCTGCAGCTGGCCATGTCACTTCTTGGGGCCTCTGCTTCTTTGCCTGTGGACGGGGGACAGCAGTCACACTTACCTGGTAGAGTTGGCTCAGTCCTTTACCCATCCAACACGTACCTATGGGCTATGAGCTACATGCCAGGCACTGTACCAGATGCTCGGGATACAGTGGTGAGAGAGGCGAGAGGAGGGGAAAGGAGAGGGTGCACACTTTGTCACCATGGAGCTTCCAGGCTGGTGGACAAGACAGTTGAAAAACCCTGTCTCAGTCCTGAAGGAGAAGTACGGCAGGTGGGTGCAACAACATGCAACAGACAGAGCTGGCACACAGACGCTGAGCTGGGGTCTGAAGCAAGAGTCAAGTCAACAAGGTAAAGGGCACGGGAACACGTTTCGTGCAGAGAGAAGAATGTAAGCAAAGGCTCTGGGGCTGGACGCAGGACAATAGGTCTGGGAGCCTGGGAGCAGCTTGGGCACGGAGGAAGGTGGGGCCAGTTCAGGCTGCCCTGTTGAGGTCTAAGGGGACCACGGGAGTCTTAGTGGGGGTGATAGGATAAGATTTGAGTCCTGAAGCCTTCCCCATGGCCGCATGTGGGGAGCAAACTGGAGAGGGCGGGGCTGACTGTGACCCCATCAGGGGGCTCTTGCTATGGCTTCAGGTGAGCTGAGGACAACTGACTCATGGTGGAGGAGGCGGAGGAAAGGGGGCGGGCCTTCAGAGATACTGCCAGCACTTGGCGGAAGGTGGGATTTGAGGGTGAGAGAGGATTTGTTCTAGGGTGCAATGGGACTGTGCTTAGTCCAGAGCTTGGCAGTGGTGGTGCGTGCTCACAGCTGTCAGCTCTTACAGGGGGAGGAGGCTTCCCCGGTCAATGTCTTAGAGGGAGCTAGAAATTAGCAGCATAGGCTAATTTCCCTCCTGAGGCAAATTGTGACTTCGGGAAGTTCCTGAGGCATCTAAGGTGGGGCCTCCTGGGTGCTGAGGTCTGGCCCTGCACGCCCCAGCCAGAAGTGCAGACACACTCAAGGGCTGCGGCTCCCTCCACAGCCAGCCCCGAGCACGGGCTGTGCACCTGGAAAGTCCCAGGCCCACACTCGCTCCGGGTATGGCAGGCAGAGCGGGGTGTGGAGAGACAGCAGGGGCAGGCTGGGTGGCCTCAGGGACCCCCATCCTCTCCTCCAGGCCCATCGTGAAGCCCCAGATTTCCAATCTGATCACTGGGGATTCAGTCCTGGCCTCGATGCCTTGGACACATTAGCGTGCTCCTCTGAGTTCCCTCATGATGACTATCCCTGCCCACCCCACAGAGCTGCTCTGAGGATCCAAGGAGATGGCCGAGATGACGGCATGTAGTGGATTATAAGTGGGGTGCTGCCATCCTGATTTCTGGGCTTCAGCCCCTGACTTCGCTCACCCGGCCCTGTCTGCCCTACTGGCAGCTCCTCTGCTAATGGTAAAGGGCAAAGTGTGGGGAGCGGGTTGGGATGATCTCATCTCCTTCCCATTCCCAACCCCCACCAAGAACCCACGGCCTGGGAAAGGGTCATTTCTACTTCTGCCTAAGAGAAATGGCTTGATTCTAGAAAGCTGCTCTTGAGAAACCTGAAGACAGAGCAGGACTCCAGGAACACTGCCCAGATGAGTGCGGGAGGAGAGGGGCGAGGAAAGCCCGGGGGAGGGCCCTGGGGTGTGACCCCGGGGGCCAGGCTCCCCGGCTGGCTTGCTGGTGGGGCAGGGGCGGGCAGTTGCCGGCATGAGGGCAAAGGAGCAAGAGAGGCTGCCCCTGGCTCTGAGCTCGGAACCCCTGCGGGGCCCCGCCTCTGAGCTGGGCTCCGAGAAAGTCTAACAAAGAGTCACGAGGGGCACAGAGCAGGGGATGTGGCCAAGTGCCCGATTCTTCACCTGGGGAGGGCACACATGGTGCTGGAGAGGCTGGGTTGCCATGTGCCTGGGGGCCCTGCGGGCGCGTTAACTAGTGGCAAAGCCTCTCCACACGCAGCGATGGGGCAACCCAGGATTGGGCAGGTCGTGTAGGCTTAGATCACAGCTCTCTCGTGTTCACAAATGCAGGGCCTCCTCCCCCCTCTGTGAGGGCCGAAATGCAGGGAGCCCCTTGGGCTACAGGGATGTGGAGGGGCACCTTCCTGCAGGTGGGGAGCTGAGAGCGCCCAACGCAGAAGCCTCACTGGGCCAGGGCTCCTCTGGACAGAAGCCCAGCAGGACTGGCCTCTTTTGACCCCAAGAGCAGTTTTTGAGCCCCTGCCTTGGCCTCCTTCCTTCTAGCAGATGTGACCACAGGTGTGGAGCTGACAGACATGTGACCATAAAGCTCATGGGTTTGGGAGTCAGGTACACTGGGGTTCCATTCCTGGTCCCCCCCATTAGCTTTTGGACCTGGCCCCTCAGTTTCCCCACCTGGCATTGGATGAAACAGTCACAGGTGTTGATTGTGGCAGTAACGTTCCATGATCCCATAGCCCCAAGGAGCCCACAAAAGTGAAATACTCCCACCCCTGCCCCCTTTCAAGGATTGGGGACAGGTGAACACATTCAGAGCCTAGCGAGGGGCACAGTCCTCATCTTCCCTCCCATGGCTCTGGAGCTGGTTGAGGAAGGCAAAGGAAAGGTGAGACACCTAATTTCCAGACAGGCAGCAGAGCCCTGGAGTCATCCTGTGGCTTTCCAACTGACCCTGGGCAGTCCCAGCCCCAGCCCCATCCCTCTATCCCCTGCCCATCTCACCCACCCTAAGGAGTCTGGAACATGGCGCCCAAAGGTCCTCCAGCCCCTCCTCCAGCTGGTCTCAGCCTGTAGCCTCAAGGGTCCCTCAGCCAAAGCACTGTCCTGTAACCATCCATGCAGGCTGAGGTCTGCAGGGGCCTTGGGGGTGGGGGTGGGCAGCCCCAGGGCCCTCAGAGCAAACTAATGTCAAACCCAGCCCTGCCCACCTCTGTCTTACCAGGAGGACCTGACAAGTCTCCTGTTCTCCTGTCTGATCCCCCGAGATGGGATGGAATGATCCCTGGAGACTGTAGGGCATTTGCAGGACACCTGGGCAAAGCAGGCAGGACAGCCAGATCCCAGCTCACCCCCCCCCCACCCCATGTCACACTCTCTTGGTCAAAAGACACCCAGCTGAGCCTCCGCAACTCACTACACTCAGCCCTGCCAGGGTCCCCTCCTCCCTGAGGGTGCCTTTAAGCAGGGCTTCTCAGCTCTTCACGTGCGAAGATGAATGACCCTGGTTTTACACAATAGGGAAAAACTGGAAGCTGCCTGAATGTCCGACAATTGGGAACAAGTTAAATAAATGATGGTACACAATACGGTGGTACAAGGCCTCCGAACAGGTTTACAAAGAGTAATGACGTGAGAAAATGCTCATTGCACATTCAGTGAGAAGGAAGAAAAGAAAATGTTAAGTGCGTGTAATCTCAACACCGCCAAAATGTCAACAGTGATTATCTCCAGGGGTGGGAGCACAGGTACTTTTCATTTCCTTTTATACACCCTGTTTTCTCTGTTTTCCACATTTATTTTTCACAATGAGCACGTACTACTTTTAAACCAGAAAAAATTAAGTGCATAGATTGCTTCTGAGCCAAATTATCTTAAATCAGCTTAAAACCTCTCCAGGCTGGCTGGAGGGTTCCTTTTGGGTTTGGCGGCTGAGCACGGCATTAAAGCCTGCCTACACACACAGCAACACACGCGCGGCTACTCACACCCACACCTCCACTTCCATTAGGCAGCCCAAGTCAGCAGTGGCAGCACCTGCTCCCAGTCCAGCCAGGGACCGCAATTCTCTACCCAGCACGTGTTTCCCGCACATCCTGCTAGGGCTGCACGGGAGTTCAGGGACCTGACCCTGTGTGCCCAGCATGGAGACCTGGCCAGAGGAGGGGCTGGCAGGTCCCCAGTCCCAGCCTTTCCTACCCTTGACCTGGCCTTCCAGGCTGTTCCTTGGGTCTGCCTCTCCCCATTCCCTGGGGTAAGGAGAGCAGAGCCGAGTGATTGTCATCGCCACCTCTGCTGTCTGGTCTCACCTGGACTGTGTACGCCTTCCAGATCTGTCCCGCTGCCTGACTGGCTGCAGGCATGTGTCTCTGTGTGTGTGTGTGTGCACGTGTGCGTGTGTGCAGTCTGCTCCAGAGGAAAGACGTGAGAGGGTCTGGAATTCTCAAGCTAAGGGTGCTCTAGATTGTGCACTTAGGGCTCAGGATCTGAGCCCCACATGAGGAGAGGGAGAGAAGGTGGCTCTGAGGCCACAGCCCCTGGGTTGTTTCCTTCTGAGCCGAGAACTTAGCTGGGTCCTAAGGTTTTCCACTCCCTGATTAGGTGCTGGAGCAAACACACTGCCACCTCCCAGACCAGGAGCCTGAAACCATCTGGGAACCCACTGGAGTCCAATTATAGCTTCCTGCTGAGTCCAATCACACTGGAGTCCAGTCATGCAGTGTGACATTGATTTGCTTATCTATTAAATGTATGAGAGGGTTAGGAGAAGTTGATTTTATACAGTTCAATGTGACCCCAGGATTTTACTAGGAGGAGAAGAAGAATATTGAGCTTATTATCATGAGGAACTGAACGGTTCTAAATGTTCATTCTAACTCTATAGTCTGAGTGCAAAAATGAAAATAGGTTAGGGGCTTTCCTCTTCCAGCTGGGACAGACTAACTCATGTCACACAAAACTGCCAATAAGAGCTAGGAAGCTGAGGAAAACATGAAGGCATCAAAGAATCACCAAGGGAGGGGAAACTTGAGGGGTGAAAATGCCAAGAACCCAGAGGACAGGGAAATGCAGACAGGTGAGTCTGGCACTTGGCACCACTTTCCCCCTTGAGGACATCCCTGATTCCCAGGTGGCAGCTTAGAGCCTGCTCTTCCAGCAGCGTCAGGGCTGGGGATTAAAATCGGAGTTCAGGGTCTATTAAGGACGAGGTCCCCGAGTATACATTCCTGGTTTTCCACCGGGACCTCTTTAGGGCTACACCCTAGAGTCAGAGCAAACTGGAGATAAACCAGCCCTCCCAGGACTGAAACCAGGCCTGGAGTCAGCTCCATCCTACCTGGACACAGGTGATCTGCACAAATCGAGCTGCCTGCTGGAGGCAAAAGCTGTCTCCAGGGCAGTGGCTCTCCAAACCGCAGTATTTGTCAATCCTGGATTGCTGGATTTCACCTTCACAGGTTATGATTCAGGGATGGGGCCTGAGAATCTGCATTTT